TATGTATAAATATATATATGTATGTATGTATATATATAAATCATCAAAGGTACATATACAGTGTTTAATAAGGACATGATGTACCTTTGATGATTTATATTATATTCATTCAACAGTGTTAACGGCTAACTTCCTTCAATATCATATATATATATACACACGATTTTGCTTTATCGAGCATTGTTTCTTCTATTATTTTATTATTTATATGCATATAATATAGCAGCAACATTGATTCAATTCTACACAGCTAAAAACAATTTTATTTTGTTTACAATTAGGTAACTGAGTCTATTGTTATGGTAGTCGAAAACCTGTTCAGTGTCGATGAGAATATTTTAATACAAAGTCAAATGGAGAACCAGGCACCTACTAGGATTGTTGAGGTTCTTGAAGGTCAGTTGAGTAATGTAGAACTAAATGACAAAGGCATTTATGAAGAAATGGCCCCCAATCTTGCAGTTCAGGCTCAGAGGTTTGATGTCAATCAGTTCAGTCAAGAGGATACCACTTACCTTAGTTATATATCAGAATCAGATGAGAACGGAGTAGGTAATATTGGAGTACTTGGGGATCGAGAGGAAATACCCGATGCTGCCAATGTGTCAATTGCTTTACCAGTCAGCATATTTGATGTCGTCAAGAAAAATAATATGACAGGTACTTACAACGTTATAGTAGTAAAACTTTGTCTAGATTGTCAAAGTTTTCTTTGATAAAAAACGGTTGTATGCCCATATATAACAGTCAAAAGGATGTCTATAAATGGTCATGATGCGATGTCACATATGTTTGTCAAATAAAATGTGATAGTCTGAACAGGGCTTTAAATTAAAAGTGTGTTGATCTCAAAATCTTCTTTGGTTATAGGAAAATCAACCCACTTTTTCTCATGGGTAATGTAAATTATTTAAATTAGATAGCAGTGCTAGCACTGCTATCCAGAAAACACTACTTTACCCTACTTTACATGAGCTATAGTCCTATGTAATGAATAAGATTATATAAATGTAGTGACGATTGGGTATGAGTTTATTAATATTTACGTGACAATACAACATTTACATATGATGCGTTTGTTATGAACAGATTTCAGGATTGTAGTGGTTGTCTACAGCGGCAGTAAATTGTTCCAATCAGCTCTCTTTGTCAACAACAGCCTAAGTCGCAGACCAAATAGTCAAGTTATATCTCTTTCAGTGCCTGGATTAGACCGTGTGGAATTGCAGGAACCAGTTGTTACTACATTTATTCCTCTTAAAGTGACATTTTAGTTGATTTTCTGTTTTCTGTTATATACTAATTCCGTAATACTAAAATTGATAATTATTATAGTTTATAATACCACTGTCACATGGTTTTCAGTCTCTGATAAATTTTTCACTCCCTCATCTTTGATCTATAGAAAGTGTACAATCCTCCACCGCACCTGTCCCTTCCCCCACCTCTTGTGGCAGGGGTTTTTGCCTGGAGAATGCCAAATTCACTAAATCTCGTACAGATGGATTGGGAGTAGGGCGAATTCACTTGGAAGGAATACCTGTGCCACTGGTATTCAAACACTATAAGTGATATATTATAGGCAATTCGTGATATATGTTAGACAACAGAATGATATAATAGACAATATGATTATAGTAGACAATAGATGAATTATAATATACAATACATTATATAATTAACAAAAGATAACATATAATATATTTTTGACACTTAGATATATAATAGTCAACCTCCTTATATGTATTATATGTCATTTCAGTCTTCCATTGTAAATGCTAAAATTTTGTTTTTTGGATAATAAAGAAATAAAAGAGAAGAGAGAGAATAATAATAATATTTATAATAGATGATGGTATTATATCATTTTTAATAATTATTAATAATATTATTGACCATAATCCAAATAATATGACAAATAATGTTAATACAATTTTTAGTTACTAAATATTGATATTATCTTTACATTTTACAATAATCCGTCTCACACATTTACATTTCCAGATCAATGACAGTATCATAAATACAATGTGTGTATTTTGGGACTTTGAGCTTGACGGAGCTGGTGGATGGTCAAGTGAGGGCTGCACGTTTGTAAATGAATCTGTGGATGGGAGCAATAGACAATATTGCGAGTGTTCCCATCTAACTAACTTTGCTATACTTATGGTAAGGTACACTAGGCTTATTAGTAAAATAAAACAATTTATGTTCTCAAAACAGTTAAAATAAATATCCTACTAACTGTTGAACAAAGCACATTTGCTCAGTAAATTTATATTCAGAATTTGTAGAATTTAAAATACATAATATTATTCTCAAAGAATTTCATCTGGTTCCATATTTAATATAGTAGGAAAGCATCTGTTTTGTTTGTTTTGTTGTAGTTGGTGAAACCATTGCTAAGGTCGGAAAGCAACTAATTATTTTTCACAAATCAGATAATTTCCTACTACATAATATTATTATTGTAATGATATTTATAGTTTCAAAACAAAAAACAAAAATATCGCGGGGGCATGCTATCGCGGGGGAATGCCCTCGGACCCTCTAGGGTGGTGTTATCTCGATCGGCCCCACTTTCGGTCCCCCTTTTCGGACATCGCTGATCCGCCCGTGATTTTTCATACATAGTATTATAATTGCAGTTCTCATGGGCGGATCCACCTTTTTGCAAATGGAATGTTGATGATGTAATTTTGGACAAGTGGGCCTTCCCCGAAAAAAACTTTGGTTTATAGGCCTAGATGCTTGGATATTTATACCATGCATTCTTGCATTTTATAGGACTGTTAAAATGAATTTCTTCAGATTTCAGAGTTCTTCTTGTTAGGGTGTAGAAAAATTATAATTACTATAAGAATCGGGCCTTTAATAGTGTGGCATAGGTAATGGAACTTTTTGAAAATCGTGACGAACCTACTACAATTTATTGTAGGCCTATATAATTCATGTCATGCTATTATATTTTCCCATGTGATGCTTATCAACAGCTGAGTTCATTAAACATGTTTCAGAAAGTTTAGCTGGAAAACAGGACGGCTTACCCACAAAGAATTTTAATGTAAGGGTTTGTTAGGAATGATAAGAAACGAGTTGTGCTACATGAGTGCTAAAGTGGTAAAGCACAGGGGCTCATTAAGAAGTAATAAGTTAAAAAGTTACTCCTATTTCATTAATCATTGCAATCATTTAATATATTTGTATTTGCTCCCATAAAAACCCAAATATTCCAAATAAATATTTAATTTTAGCCTGACAAATCCAGTGTTATGTAGATTGCCAAAGTGTATTCAGTGTCAGCTGGGAACATCTGTGGAGCACAATGCACTCTTATTTATCTTTTGCTGATTGAGTTCGAAGTGAGTTCATCGTAAATGGGGATCAGAAAGGTTTTGTGGTCGGGGACAGGGTGAAGGCCCTGGCAAAAAGAAAAAAGCAGACTTTACCTTGATGTTGTTATTATTATTTTGACTTTTAACAGGATTTTAAGAGGGTTGATCCTCTTCCACCACCAGCTACAATTGTGACTACAGTTGGTTTAAGCATATCAATCATATGTCTTTGCCTAACAATTCTTACTTTAGTAACCAACAGGTATGTATATAATTAATTGTAAAATATTGTGTATTACTATATACCTCATACATATTATTAGGTAATAGCATTATTCAACATTTCATCAATTCCACCCAGCAAGAGGTGTGGTATTTTTTATTACCTCCTTTCGTGTGCCAAATTTACGCGTATGCAGGGCAAAATGTACCCAAAATTAACTACCAGACCTTCACCTTCGTCAACAGTATGCAATCTGTGTAATTTTACTCTCACTGATCAAAACTGCAACAGACGGGCGGTTTGTTATTTATAAGGTATAGTAAAACAAATACCACATGTTTTAATTGCGGTAAAGCAGTTATAATATTCTAATTTGGATACTACACCTTTAAAACAGTGACACATAATATTATTACATGATAAAGGTGCATCCATAATTTGGTTAACATAAAATATTACGACATACAATACAAACAAAATATTAGCCTATTGCGTTTAAGTATAAATAGAATAAAAAATCACTCAAACAATTTACAAGGCCACCCCATCGATCACCCACCCTCATCGAAGTGTCATTAGGAAATGATGTCTTAATAGAAGCAAAATGATTAGAAGAATGGCCCCTCCAATCCCCGGAGGGCCCCTTACTCTATTTAATATTAATTAGGCAGTACATAAAATACAAACTTAAAGTTAAAAACCAAAATTCAAAATGTCCTTACAGAATACAATAAAGCAGAAAGGAAAATGAACTAAACTAAATTAATTAATTAAATATAAAAGTGAGGGTATTCATAACACGAACACAAAACGTAGTCATACAGATGAGAATTCTCTATCTTCCTTTATGTTCATCTTCCACGAGAGCACACAACCTACTAATCCCAGTCGGACCCCACCATCCCCTCCCTAATTCGTATTAGGTGAAATGGTCCCTCGTTGTTGGATGTTTTGGACTATCTCCCTCTGTTTCAAATCAAGAGGTAGTCCCAATTATCCAGCACAACAGAAAGTAGTTCACTAGTTGTATTTGTATACTATTATGTAATGATCAAAAGATGGCAACCACCTATGCAACAGCCCCTCTGTATAAAATTTATAAAATCCTCATCACTGATCACTCCATCCTAGTTACTAACCACTCCATAAAATATCCCAACCTCTTATGCGATTCTCATAACATAATTTATTTAATAACATGCAATATTTGTAACAAAGGCAACCACGTTGGCGAAACCATGAACCCACGTAGAAGGCTACATTAACCAACACAAACACGACATTAGGAAAAACGCCCCCGACAAAACCGTAGCCCAACATTTTATCACAAATAAATACTGAAATGTACTCTAGCAAAGAAAAAATAATGATAATATTTTGCTGTTATAGAAACTTTCGGCGGAGTGAACCCAGGAAATTTCAATGTCAGCTGTGCCTGTCTTTGCTTGGTTTGTACATCGTCTTCCTTGCTGGAATTGATCAAACAGACAGCAGTGAAGGGTGTATAGTTGCCGGGGCTCTTTTACATTACTTCTTGCTATCGTCAGTTTTCTGGATGAGCGTTCAAGCAGTTAATATGTACTATTTATTTGTCAAAGTCTTTGATGCTCATGTATTGCACTTTTTTCTAAAAGGTTGCTTGTTTGCATGGGGTGAGTTTTTATTTTTGATATTAAAGATAATTTTAAAAAAATAGTTGTTACAGCGGTTAGGCTTATAGTTCCAGTATAGAAATCCTATACTTTGTAATACAAATACTAATTAATTCACGTTGAATTTCTGTCTTTTAACTCAGGTTTACCAGTGGTGATTGTCTTAGTTTCTGCATTTATTGATATTGATGGCTATATCGATTCCAAAACTCAGTAAGTTTAAATGATAATGTAGAGAGGTTATGATTAAATATCTACTAAAGTGCTTGTTATTGATTAGCATCAAACAAAAATACAAATGAAGTACAGTAAGCATCCATACATATGTATTTGAGTTATTGTTATTATTTGTTTATTAATACAGTTGTCCCCGCCCCCAAATTAACACCTCTAATTACTGACCACGTTTTCAAAGTATCAATTATTCAGTCTTTTGGCTCTAATTCGAGGTCAAACCCTGCGACCACCACACATGTATATGTATATAATATGAATGTATATATATATATATATATATATTATATATATGACATATACTATTATGTTAAACAAAAACAATCAAATGATATGTTTTGAAATATATATTCATAGATGCAATGTGTACATGCATAGATTAATGGAATATAATTGTAAATTTTACAATACTGTACTGTGTATTATGAAACCCTCCACAACGGTTTCAGCAATTTACCCTACTGTTTTGTTTTTTCTTGTAGTTGTTTCCTGACCCTCAAGCGAATGTATTACGCTGTTGCAATTCCTGTTGCTCTACCCTTACTTTTCAACACTTTAATATTCATTATGGTTTTACATAGTTTAAGCCTACGTGGGACAAAAACAAATGATTCTCCACTAAAAAAACAGAAAAACAGAAACAATGGGGTGAAAATGTTACAAAATGGAGTGAGCATTACGTTGGTGTTGGGTTTAACGTGGATTATCGGCTTCTTCGCTATTGGTGATGCTGCAGTAATTATGCTGTGGCTTTTTTGTATTCTTAATTCTTTTCAAGGGTTTCTTATTTTTATTATGTACTGTGTCAGAAATAAAGATGTACGTACTCACTGGTGCAAAATGTTGCGCATTTTACCATAAAGTACAAATGTTTTCAATCATAACCTCCAGCGAGTAACTATTTTCCAGGTTTAAAAAAAAAAACATTTTCTAGACCTAAGTAAAAATAAATTATCTCTTAGCCACTGTAGAAATATTTTCAAAGAAAAAAATTAAGCTATTAGACTTTAAGAAATATATATAAAGGTAATAATGAAAATGTATTGTGCACCGGTATCCATCCGTAAAAAATGCTTACGGGGAATCGATACGGTGTAGCACGAATTTTAGTTCCCGGCGAATTTTAGTATTTCGTGGTCTGGATATTCAGAGCCTTATGGAACACAAATTTGCAACACTTTCTTCCTGGGTAAACAATTATTAAATATGTCTATGTATTCATTAAAAAGCATAAAGTGACGGAAGTTTATACAATCGAGCATGTACCTTATGTTCAACTTAACTTCACAGCTTAATTATCTAGCATACAATCTATAAAAAATATGTAAAAGCTACTTTACGTTGAAAAAAATCACAAGTCACTTTACTGCGAGCAACAGCGAGCATGATGGGAAGGTTAGGTGAAACTTAATTTCATTTACAGCGACATTAATTAAGTTCGGGTAAACAATAATAAGGCGGGAATAGATTGGTAATCATATTACGTCCGCATAAGCAGTATAAATGAAACTGTATTGACATTTACTGGCAGTTCGTTGGTGGGAGTTATTCGAAGCTTTGGGTTAATGGGAGACCTTGTCTCTAGCTGTGATCAGCTGTTAGTTCGCCTACATGTTTTGTAAAGCTATTTATTGGTTTTACCTTGAATGTGCATGTAGTACTGTATATGTTAACATACAGCTTCCTTATTTTTTTTTTGTTTTAGCTGAGTAGCCTGTACGACTGTTGTCTCGACTATTTTCTTTTCACTTTTTTTTGGACCATTATTTATTTATTGAACGAGGGTACGGCACGAGGGTGTATCAACTTTTTTGTAAAAAAAAAACCCCAAAAAGCAACATTCTTCTAAACAGCTTGTCGTACCATTGCTAAAATTTATAAAAGTAGGCCTGTAAAATTAAGGGCATTTTAAAAGTGGTACTGCATTTAATTCTATTCTTTAGTTGATTATTGGCCCACTCTCTGATAGAGAGGGCTTATATGATGCTTCTGGGCAAATTTTGAAGTCATTTGTTTTTCTATCTTTTCCTTCGTTTGTGGCGCGATAGACCGATCTTGCAATAATATGAAAGATAAGGCTTGGGGAATTTAAAGTACGAAGCGTTTTTGCGAAAATATTGTCGGGAAATATGTGAAATACTGTAGTATGTTTTTTGATCAGATTGCAAATCGCCTCTATATTCCTCATTGTGTTTATTAACCAGTCACGGTCTGGAATGGTAAGCTTTGCGGCTAATAAATGCGTCTGCACGAGTCTAGTTGGTAGCTATAAATGAGCCGTTTTGTGGTGCTTGCAAGGGTGGGTGGTGGTGGTCTCTCTCTCTCTGAGAGAGAAAAACAGTGTACATTTCGTCTCAATGTACTGTAATACAGGCTGGCCTAGACGAAGACGAACCAATTATAGGCTGGCTGGGTACGTGTGTGTAGGCCTAGCTCAGATATTGCAGGAAATATAGGCTACAAGTTGCTTTTATGTGTATTAAACCACACATTCAAGTCAGAGGCGATGAGTGTATGTACAGCACATTTCGTGTTGCCGCACGTGGTGTGGTTGATGACGAGGACGTATATACATTGATAGCAAGGTCATTCTAGACGGTAGCTTTTCAGCATTGCTCTTGGAGGATTAACTTCCTTACATATGCATTTGTAGCTTTTCGTACTCTACACTTGGCTATCCTAGGCCAACCACATAGGCGTAGGTACGTAATATGTTAGATCAGATATTAATTACATAAAATGTAGGCCGACAGTCGTATTTAATAGGGGCGGAGTGGATTTCCTTTTTTCGCGATTTACCATGGCTACTGTCGTCGTCTCGTCACCTAGACGCCTCCATATGGTAATGATGAAGATAACGTTCGTGTACCTATAGACTGATGAGACTGTCATAGTTCATGAATTCACCAGTGCCTTTCATTTTCAATGGATTCCATTCCATGGAATAACCAGTTGATGGATAACCCAGTAATGGATGGACCGTGTGCCAGTTCAGTGCAACATTAGTACGATTGAAAATAACATTACAGCAATTGCATTATATTTGTAAACACCTATCTATATATAAAAATATTTAAAAAAATATATAAATATAAAAAACATATATGTACATATACATATATGCATATGTACATATATTCATATATACATATATGTACATATATCCATGTACACATATATGTACATATCTATGTATATATAATATATATATATACACATAGATTATATATATATATATATATATATATAAATGACACATTTCCTAATGTGTTTGAATATAATACAAATACATACAAAAGTAAGAATATTAGTTCTGTAATTAAAAAAAAAATCACAGTAAAAAGCTGCATGATGTAATTATAATGCGCCTTCTGCTAATGTCTTCATTAGAGGACCACAATGAAACACTTCTATGCAACAAGTTCTATTCACCCACCAAACTGTCTACTTAAATCATAAACCGCTACGGTACATATATATTTTCGTAATTACAGTACAAAATATTTCACAAAATTACGTATATAACAACTACTACAACAACCACATTTCCTTTAATATCACTATAAACGACATGACACCTTTCCTAACTGTTAAGTGAACATAACAAAAAAGGTCTATGATGATGCATACAACTACTATAACTTAAAACTTTTTTTATGCTCAATACGCGTAGGCCTAACAACATTCCACACAACCTCCACCCACCGACAGCACTTAAACATTGCCAGCTATTGTCAAGTGAGCTATTGCATCATTGATGCTCTCGTTTTAATGTACGGTGTGTATTCCACACATTTGAGTACTACTGAAGTCTGGGTTATATTACAATGTTTAGTGAATCTGCATGTTGATCATATTTCCAATTATTTTTTCTCAATGTGTTGTCTGATAATCAATTTTTTGTTCTCATTATTTATTTGCTTTCTCAATGCAGCAACATATAAATTAAATAAAAATGAATAAAACAATTCTCGCTTTATAGAAACAAAACAACAGTGATTAATAATCTGTTGATTTAAAATAAAGAAATTTATTATTATTAAATAAAAATATGTGAGGGGTGATTTTTTAACATAATAATAATAAGTCATACTACTGTTTTTTGTTTTTTTTTGGAATCAACATCATTCATTATAGGGGGTTATGTTTTCTTGTTATTATTATCATTATAGTAGTATGAACTGTTTTTTTTTTTTTTTATAGAATCAACATCATTCATTATAGGGGGTTATGTTTTATTGTTATTATTATTATATTATTTTTTTTTAAATAGCTAAAACTATCTGAAATAAATATCTAATAAAAACCAACAACAATTAAGCCTACTTATGATTTTGTATTCCTATTTAAAAACTTAACAGCTTTAAAGCTGCAACAAAGACTGCTTTGCCGATCCGATCAAGTGCATTGGCAATCAACAAAATTTCAAATAACTAAATCACTATAGTCGAAAAAATTCTTTCTTTTTGATTTCTTTTAGGCCTATTTCATTTTCAAAAAAATATTGAAACCAAACTTCGCCGACGCAAATAATACTAATAATAATAGTAGAAAGAAAAAGAAAGAGAGCAAATTCGCTCAAATTCACCCGAAAATGGTCCGAAAGAACAGTGACAGTTAGAGGGTGTTTTAATTCAATTTATATTTCTAATATTGTATATATATAATAGGCCTACTGTATATATTATATATAATTTTTCTCCCCGAAGATATTTTGGGGTTGGGTAGAAAGAGTGGTGGCTGGTGTAAGATATATGACGATTTCAATATATTTTATTGTATTTCTTTCTAACTGCATTTCATGAGAAAATTTTAGCATTTCATTTTTTATATGTTTTATATATACCCGCCAAGTATCGTATTCTCATTGTAATGGTTTTGGTGTATTAATAGCTCTGCCTGAGAATTGAATAAAATAAATAAAAATAAAATATATATTGTATTTATATTGTTTTGGAGGCAACTGTGGAATTGTTTCCTCACGATTTTTTTTATTATACAGTAATTAGCATACGTCACCCTATATAAATGTATACGAGACTCTGACTGAATGCATTGCATTTGACTTTAGATGACAGTGGAGGCGATGTGGTACCACAGCATTGTGTTGAAAGCGGATACGATTATATTGAAATTGAATTGCATATAACATTATTGGTGACATTGAATATATTATTTTCAAACGTTTCTTAAACTATAGATCAGAGAATTAAATATACTTTTTATCTTTAAGTGCTAAAGTGATTTTAATATAGGCCTACAATGTTTTATTGTTTTTGAATTCTCGAAATTTCAATTCTGTCATTTTACAACTTAGGCCTAAGTGTGTCAGAACCCACTTTACCTATTATTATTTCCCTGTATATAGAACAACATATACAGTATACAGTTTTAAATAATTTACCTTGGCTCTTTGTTGATATACTGTATTCATCAGTTTTAATGCATGAATGTTATTTCGGTGACGATTTCCTTATATTTTATTGTATTTGTGTTTAACTGCATTTCATGAGAAATTTCAGCATTTCATTTTTTATATGTTTTATATACCCGCCAAGAGTATCGTATTCTCATTATAATGGTTTTGTTGTATTAATAGATCTACCCGGAAATTGATTAAAATAAATAAAAATAAAATACAATTTTGAGTGAATTCCGTAATTAATTTATTCTTTAATTTAGAGGCATAACCAGAGCAATATATAAAACACTTTTATAGGCCTAAAAATTTTTGAAAAATCTTAACATTAGGAACCGTTATCTTTTGGAACATTGGCAAACAATTTTGGCAATATTCTCAAGTTCAATTTCCAATGAATTTTGATTAATTTGAATTGAATTTATTCATTAATTATGTAATTAAAACAAGAGGACAAGAAAGGCAAAATTGCAATAAACAACCCTGAATAATAGGATAAGCCATAAAAAGTAACAACTACAATACTTTCATGTGGGTCCCATAAAAACGATTTCAAATTGCCCAGTCAACAGAGTAAAACACGAAGCACAGACAACGTTCTAAAAAGCAATAAAATGCAATGGAATATTCAGTAAAGCTGGCCTAAACATAATGTTTTTAAAATTTGATATGCAGAGAGGGGCATACTGCCATACCAAACAATGGTAATATGTTTGTAGACTGTCAAGAGGTACAACGCTTCTGGAATAAATTCAAAATGTTCCTAAGCACTATCGGTATTAATCAAGATATTGAAATCTAAAATACATAGTTATATTGGTTATTGCCTTTATAATAACATTTTAAATTTAAGAATTATTTATTATGATCAAAGGGGTAAACCTGAATTATATTGTGTCTCTCAATGAAATTGAATGGTGTTTTCATAAGTTTTGGTTAAGCCTCTATGTTGATTTTTAAAATACAGTAAATTAAAGAAAAATGTTGCTATTTTTAAGACCAAACTCCAATTGCCAGTACGTCGGTCTTTTGCAATAACTGTATTGAGTGACAAGCTAAATTAAAATGGTTGATCAAGCTTAGAGTCTTTGACAGCTGATCTGTGTTGTGCCCTATGCTGTTTATCCCAAAGATTACAGCATATAAGATAAATGGCATTTTTGGTGAGATAATATTATCTGGAATATGTGGTTTGTTTGGTTACCCTTGAATGATTATGTAGAATCAAGCAAGGTTAGTTATTTGCCGTAGCACTGTAAACACAATATAAATATGTAATGTCATAATCGTATCAAGCATGAAAGGGAATTTTCGGTGAACGGCTATGTTTGATACGATTATGAAATTACTATTTATATATTGGTTTACATTGTATTTACAGTGCATACGCAGCAAAAGCTTATTTTAATATTATTTCTTTTTTTAAAATTATTTTAATGATTTTATAGCTCCAACCTACAAGCAAGTTGTTAGCGTACATGGCTTCGCTGTGTGTGTGAGCCTATAAGTAATTTGTATGAAAGTGCCTGGAAGTTAGAACTACGCCTATAATACCTATAGGTATTTTGTGGTGTAAGACACTAGCCTTGTCAGCGAGAGGCTGCAAGCTCCAATCTCGCCAGGAATCACTCATTTTCATACAACTAAAAAAGGATTTTTTAATGATATCACACGCCCATAGTATTAATTTTGTCCTGTGTTTATAGCTGTCTCTTATACACATCTAGATGTGTATAAGAGACAGCATTTTAAATTTAAGAATTATTTATTATGATCAAAGGGGTAAACCGGAATTTTGTTAAAACTCAATGTCTTAATTTAAAAAAAAAAACGATAATGAATAAACACATTGAGTTTACAGGCATCGCACCAGCCAAAAAGATTGCCTCTAAAGTTTAACTATTAAGCTATTCCCAATTAAATTAATTAACGATGAATAAAATATCGCCAATTAATTACCCTTTATTATATTATCTCCAATTAATTAACCATTAATATATATCCCCAATTAATTAACCATTAATAAATTATCCCTAATTAATTAACCATTACTAAATTTTCGACAATTAATAAATTATCCTTAATTACACCCTCCGTTTCCACAGTCCGCTTCACTTCTCTTATTTCGTTCCGTTTCGTGGAAATATCCCGATTCTCACTTTTTGCGTAACCAACAAAATTCTTTACCTTATTTTACTTGAAAATTCATAACTCCATAACGGAGGGTCGTATCACATAATTTTTCCTGGAAAATGTTCTTAAAATACTATTTTACACCACTGTAAACAAAATTTGTTTTCACCTATGAAATAAGGATGGAAAAAGAAAAGCCTATCTAAATAGTGTATTAGAAATTGCATATTCTTTACAATATTTAGATTAGCTTTAATTTTTCAGAGGTCGAACAATTTTTAAATTTTTTTCCATCATACAGAGGTGTATTTCCACTTGATAATTAGTAGCCTGATGATTAGTATTCAATTTCATGTAATAGGCCTTACTCAGAGCATCCCTTTGTGATTTCTGAATTAATACCGTACCTTGTTGTTCGCTTCACAATTTTACGTGCGTTCGTTGTGCATTTGATTACACTTCACTCAATAAAAATTAATCAATCAACAGAACCTTAATTTCAGTCTTTTGTGAATTTATTTGATGCCTCTGTAATAGTCAAAAAGAACATTTTATTCAATTACAATTCATATCGTTCCCAAACCCTGTTAGCATGTAGTGAGATCATCGTGCCAAACTATTACAAAGAAGCGATTCGATTCAGTGCTTCATTGCTTGGTTCACCAAACACGTAGGCGTCATTTAAAAAAAAGTATCTATTTAAGTAAGTCCTCCATGATATATCGTACATTTTGGATTGGTTTATTGTCAAGTTGGCACTGTACTTGACGTCCATATAGGGAATCGTTGACACCATAGTCGCTTTAACTGATAATGAGCATGGCCAAGAGTATATGTTTGCCGCTCTTGGTATTTCTATTAACGGTACGTATGCAATAAGTTCTGGAAAATTTTAATTTTGTTTATAGCGTATTATGCTGTATTATCACAGATGCTATAGGCTTACACTAAAAGCGGAAAAGTATTGATTTCATATTTATGATAAAGTAATGGTTAGGCGCAATGCTCGGTGAATTGGTAATTATAAAAATTAAAAACCCAGTTACAACAAAAAGCTATTTTATTACTTTAGCACATAGGCCTAAGTCGATGCTATTCGTACTTTAAAATTATGGTGGCATATTTTATACATTGTAACATGACAATTGGCGATAGTTTTTAAACAGCTAAAGTAGGTACCGCAGTCTTTTTTTTTTTTTTTTTTTTTTTTTTTTAACGCATTACGGTACGGTACGGTCATAATGAAAATATATAGGACTAAAGACAAATAACCATTAGTTAAGATGTGCACTGAGTTTAAGTACAAACAGTAAGAATGTCACTCCAAAAATTGCAAAGGCCATTTTATTCTACGTTTCGCTTTTATTTAAGCATGATCAGGAATAAAGATTTATTATTATACCGACGATGCTTAAATAAAAACGAAACGTAGAAAAAATGGCCTTATTAATATTTTGAAAGACAGATAACTACTTGAATATAGGCCTACTAATTTATTTAAGTATAGGTATAAACGAATAAATCAAACACAGAGGTAATAGTAATATTTTCCTACAAGTTAGTGTCCGACTTTCTGCTAAAGACAATTATAACATATACATGATATAGGCAACTCTAAAGAGGCTCCTCATCTTTACCGTTTACACTTCAAATATTCACATAAACCGTCATATGACCGGTATAGAAGAAATTTTAAATTATTATTATTTGAATTGAAATTTGTTCAAATACAGGAATAGGAATTCTTTTGAAATGAAGATACTACAACCATGATGCGGATATTAAAAATAACATGGTTCCGTATAGTAGTAGGCTTAAAAACTTTTCCTACTAGCAGGCCCTAGCATCAGTGCCGTAGGGGTCCTGAAATGGAAGGCAGCTGATAGGGGTGGGAAGGTAGAGGATTGGTGATTAGATGGAGGATCGGTGATTAGGTGAGGTGGTTAAATCGCAAAATAATGTGATTTGAGGTGATTTTTAACTACATAATCATGATTTGTGGGCGGGGAGAGTCTGGGGGATAGGCAAGATTTTTTTGGGTGGGGGAAGCCTATAGTAGTAATAATAATAAATAATAATAATAATAATAATAATAATAATAATAATAATAATAATAATAATAATAATAATAATAATAATAATAATAATAATAATAATAATAATAATAATAATAATAATAATAATTAATAATAATAATTATTATTATTATTATTATTATTATTACGGTATTAATATTTTTATTATTATTTTCATCATCATCATTATTAGGCCTATCACTTGTACATATCATCACGCCTAAAAAGGAATCTATCCGATGGTAATGATGTTTAATTACAATGTATAATTCTCTGTCTTCTTTGCCTTGGCTGAACAAAAGTAGTATCAGCACTCGTGTAGGTGTAGAAATATCCAAACCATTACGCATATCCACTGATTTTTTAAAATAAAATTCTCAACATCAAAAAAGAAAATGAGCCATACACTCGCCACTTACAGGATGCAATGATGCTCTATTATAATTTCACAATAACCTTTCCACGCATACTAAGTTTAATTGTTTGGAATATTATCTGCAATTCACGATTTGTGAACCATAAAACAAACTTGATTTATGTTTCAGCTATGATAACAATGCCTTCTTCACATAGTTTCCGCCCATACATACATGCCTGGTGTCAGTGCAAACGTCATAATGTCGATTTAGTTGACCACCAGGTCCTCACCAGGAAAATTTTAACACTTTTCGTCTGGCAGACGAGAAACGCTTGGATACGTTTGGATAATGATTTTATGCCAACTTAAATTACCATAATTTTGAATGTTCATATGTTTAATTCTAATTATTATATAGGCCTATTATCCATTCTCGAGAGAAAACATTCAGTCGCCATTGACAACGGATGCTGTATGACAAACCTGACATAGTACAAATGCTTAAAGTCGACAGTTTAACTTTATAATTAACATTGTAAACACTTTTTGTTTATTTTTAGCTACTTTTAAGCATTTTACAGTTTTTCTTTATTCATTGTCATATGTATCTCTTACGTTCCGATCTTGTTAAACAGCTGAGCCAAGAAGTTTCTCCGAACACCACCGAAGTTTGATGGGCTGAGGGAAAAAAGTTATTATTATTTATATATTATAGCACCTCTAGATGGCTGGAAATGGCACTCTTAGATTTACAATATAATCATATGAATTTATTTTTATTTCTACAGTGTTATGCATAAATTTGGAATGCATTTTTAATAGTGTTTTACTTATTACTGATCGTTTAAAAAGAGTGCATTTTTACGTGGTCAAAACAGCCCAAACATTTTTTGATATGAAATATAATTTCTTTTTTCCCCTTTTTGTTTATACTTTTGAAAAAAAAGGGGGATCCATTAAATACACCACTTAATTGAAATCCACACAGTAATCAATACTTACTCCTTTAAAAATTTAATATTATTGAGGGACCCACTGGTCCCTTTTTTTTTTATTCAATAATTATTTTAGGTCTATTTATGATTGGGCCCCTAATAGCCCAGGTCCCCAGTGCTTCACACTAACTACACCTGTAGCTATGCCACTGCCACCACAACCACTACCACCACCAACACCACCACCACCACCACCACCAACACCACCAGCCTTTTCTTAAATAAGTCTGGTCCTAATGTTTTTCAAATTTTGCGCAAGTTAAATATTTACAAACAAAAAAATAAATGACGAGGCTAAATGTATACTTGCTGAATCAGTTCTATATTGTGTCTGATGTTAACACGTTATATCGTCATTGCGGACTTATAAAATCCGCATACGCCTTAAAACTAAAAGAAAATTCATACATTTAGAGTCCGCACTGAGCACAAAAAATCCGCAATGAAAATATAACGTGTTTGTTCCAAATATATTTTATTTCCTCATAGATTTTTGCGGCTCAAGCTCAAACTGGTAAGGAAATTATCCATTTTTTGTCTCCATTTTGTTATACAATTATCTAACTGAGAAAAGGTAACTAATTCCTATTAAGCCTGTAAAGTACTGTATCGTGTGTAACTGTTTGATCCAATCCATAAAATTGATATTCCATGAAATGATGTGTATATAATAATTGAAAATCTGATTGATACCTCTTATTGTTAATTAAAAACAGTGGTACAATTTAGGTTTAAGATGTCAGTCTCTGCCACAAGTAAGCAAATTACACCATTTAAAAAAAGTTGCTATAGATAGACCACAGAGGTAATGGAGTATTAGGGGTGTATGTGTGATTCATCAATGGCTCCAGAGATTTGCTGAGAGGGAGACAAGAGGCCGAATAGAAGCTTCATCATGGTGCATAAATTTAAAAAAAACTTTGGTAGGGTACATTAGCAGGCTTTTTCATGGCTAAATTGTGCTTTTCGACCACAATATAGGGATTACCTATCAAAATAACGTTATTTTTATATGCAAATTAATACTTTTTGTCCGACGCTCTTGCGTCGCATCGAACGACGAGAGTTCGAGGGGGAATTTCCCCCTCACCCTCCGCTGGTGCCACCATTGGGGACACCCATTCCATACTTGACAATAATTAATACTTCAATGAGACACCATATTAAGGAAAAAGGTTATCCAATCAGATAGAGTCTAGCATCGACCCTATATTTAACAGAGTTGACTAAATATATATTTGGTTCCATATAGTTTCAGTTATTATTACGAATATTACTGCAAACGTCGTTTCTGGAGATCCACTTATTGAGCATGTGAATGCTCACCCCGTTATTGCTGAGTTCACGATTGGCACTACAGAAAGAAGTGATCGCCTAACTGGATCAAATCTTTGGAATTTGACCTTCTTCATAGCCGATTCAAGTGAAACTGCTGTGGCTGGGACGGAGGTCACTGCTACCTTAAGTAATGCCAGTGTTGCAATTTCTCCAGGAGATACTTTTACACTGGAAGGAAGAGCAAATTTAAACCTGGATAGTAAAGATTGTTCACTGCTTCCTAAATTCTGTGCGACATTATCTGCTAATCCGTCGGCATCACCTGGTTTTACTCTTACACCGGACACAGGTTATTCAACTACGAAATGCATCGATATGAGTTGTGAAGGTTTGTTGATTTGTGTTATTTGGCACTGCTGTTCATTTTTTGTTTTGTTTTAGTTATTGTAATATTGTAATATTGTATTTTTATATATTTTTTTAATTTTTAAGTTCTGCTTATTTTGTTAAATGACCCATACAAATATTGATACTTATTATTTATCGTTTCCACAAGCCTATTTTTAATCACTGTTTCTATCATTGATATATTTCTATTGTACTTTTTAAGAAGATAAAGTTTTGTCTCTTTATCAAAAATATAAAAAAATCATAAAAATCTAAACCAATTGTTCGTTGACTTGTGAGGAGAGACGGGCAATCATCATCACCACCACTACCATCATCATCACCATCATTATCATCAAAATTACCATCATAATCATCACCAATCTATTATTTGAAACTAAAATCCAAAATATGAATATCCAGATTTATTTTCTTTTATGATTGGCGTTTTTCAGGTGTGGTTATTACAAATGTACTGCCTGCACAAACAGAAGACAGATCCTTGATCCAAGGTACAGACAACATTGCCGTAAATTTGACTGTTACCTTGTCATCTGTGAGTGCAAGTTTTCAAGGTAACTAGATATTACCCGTTGTCTGCAATGGGGAGAAATATTATATCTCAACCATTAGTGTTTTTCATGCTAAAGTTGAATGGCTTTCACACTCCGAGCATATTAAGACTGTTTCAGTATAAACTTATATAAATCAAACTACATTACAACATTGATAATGTGATGCTTTGTGTGTGCAACTTCGATTGAAGTAGAAGAAACGTGTTTGAAAATACACTCGCGAAGAACAGGATGAGATACTATAACTATATATATATATATATATATATATATATCTGTCTCTTATACACATCTAGATGTGTATAAGAGATCTGCTTTCCTTAATTCAAAAGTTAATGGAACAGGAACAAGACTACTATACGCTGCTGTCGATATGTTGGATTCAGCCGACTATGGTATTCAAAGAAATGGATTTGCATTTTGGCCGAAGGTTAAGACATTGTCCAATTATCTTGGAACCATAATTTAAAAAATTATATCGCAGCAGCCACAGTTTTTTTATGTAACAATAACCAATATAGTCCTGTCCAGAGTATGAAATTTTATTTAACAATAACAAGTGACATATCTAAATATGGTCATGATGTCATCACCTTTTTGTCAAAGAAAATGTAGTAATCTTTACAGGTATTAAGATAAAAAAATACATTATTGTGTTCTCCAAGCACAAATTTTGGGAATCAGGGTTGGCTGGTTAGTTTATTTTTGCAATAAACCTGGGCATAATTCTTTGGTTCGTTGCCAACCAAAACTCTCCCCATACATTTATAATTTGATTTAATTTTGATTTCATTTGGAAAGATCTGATAACACTTTCACTATATACATTTATAACACACCTAAATACGCATTTGTCACTTGATTGGTAGATTTCGTTGGCATTGGGTATTTACACCATTTTGATTTGCATCGTTCTTTAGAAAATTTACTTCCATCCGCCTTTTTTTGTTCCATTCCCTTTGTCCCATTTCATGCCCCTACCTAATACAATGTTTATATTGGCTGAAAGGCGATGAACTTTCCATTGAGAAAAAGGTACACCTAACTTTGTTTTCATAAAATATCAATGACAAGGATCTAATTCAGTGATTCATATAACGAATAAGGAATGTTTTGTATTCGTGAAATGCAAAGAATGTTTTCATTCGTTGAAAGATTAACTGATCCATTGAACTTGCAAATATATTCTTCCCATTGCACTCGTACACAATCATTACTGAAAGCATAATGTGTTAATCAGATAGTGTCTAGATGTATAGTAAGAAATTTTACTCAGTAGCTATGTGTATTTCAATAGATTGTCATACACATACAAGTTGCAAATATTTAAAAGTGTGCAGCTGGTAGTTGTAGCCTACAGCATTTTGCTCTAATGGATAGAATTAGCATCACCAGTGGATATCAATTAAGCTGATATATTGAGCAAATTCATGTAGAAGGCACACTGAGCCATTTTTAAATTAGTGCTCATTTGTTGGTTCTTTTATATGTAATAAGTTATGTAAAATTCTACAGATACAAGCAGACTTTGATCTTACTGATGTTAGCTGTACTGATTTTGATTATGTTTGTGTGGAAGTACAAAAAAACAATAACTCTGTTCCTGCCTTTACGCTCAGCTTTTTACCAAGTACAGCTGATGTTGGCTGTATTGAAATAGAATGCACTGGTGAGTGGCAATGGGAAGTAGGGTTATCATAAGAATGCAGAACAGAAGTATTAACCAAAATTAATTGGAATGCAGTAAAAGTAAATAGTTTAATTAGAATCTAAAGAAATTTATATTGGGGACCTGTGTTTAATATTGGTCAGTACACCGTAAAATCGATTTCCTGTTTTTTCCAACAAATATCTTCAACAAGCATCTAGACTATTCAATAATATATTTATTATAAATTCGACACATTCTCTTACATAAAATTATAAGATACAAAACAAGAAAATATAAAAAAGTCCCGAGATTCTGAGTGAATTCTCTCTAAACTGCATTAAGATTATAATAAACTGTAGTACTGCAACATTATAGTGTTAAAACTATGTTACATTATGCATTGTTTCAATGATTGGGGTATACCAATTAATTGACCATTTTTTACTGTTATATTACTTTTCATTTTATTTTTATTATAAATTTCTATATGTAATTCTTTCAGGGCTTAAAATTCTCAATGGTGCAACTTTGACTGTTAATGCTGTTTTCTTAGAAGATCGATCAACAACAGTTGAATTTGATGTTAGTTATCCTACTGGTATTGCTGGAGTTACTGGTAGCAATCTTTGGGAAGTCAATGTGTATGCAAGTGCTAATGCAGATGGAAATGGTACAAGGATTAGTTATGAGCAAGTACCTTTATCAAGTGAGTTTAAATTCCTCCCCTGCAATAATAGTAGCATATCATAATGATGATAATGATGATTATTATGGTAGTGTTAATAAAAATGATGATAATAGTATTAATAACAAGGGAAAGTGTAATTAATTAATTCCTCTGTAATAGACCAATGATACTTTTAATAATTATAAATCATTTCTCCAAAGTCCTCTTAATATTAGTCACCTCATCATACAGATTTGACTAATTGTGTGTTATGACATCATCCCATGATGTCGTTTTTGTTGTGGCATTGTTGGTAGAAAGAAAAAATAAAAAGTTCTTACTGATGTTTACAATTATCAAGTTTAGTATTCTTTATCGTCGGTGTCAAATGTGAGAAGCCAATCTACAGGCTGTGCCCAGTAGCAGCAGGTTCCAGAGACTAATTTTTAGCGGTGATCCTGATGACTACGAAATATGCGGGACGAAGTTTTTAGCATATCTATGTACCCAAAAGCTAGAAAAGTTTGTCATATTCGATCCACCAACGGAACCCGCTGCGGCCGTAACTGATACCTACGCTGAGCTTTGCGAGAGGCTGACAACAATGGATGTAAACAATAAAAATACTCAAAACATTACCAGAACCACGGGAACACAAAACCGAGGATCGTATCGCTATATATGAAAACTAACCAACATTTAGATGGAGAAGAGTGTAACTATAAACTACATAACCAGAGCCAAGAAACTAATTGGTGCACTTGAGAGTAGAAGGAAGCGCTAAGTGAGAATCTTTTAATCTCAATACAGTACTTCTGAAAGGATTACCTACTAAAAAAAAAAAAAGCCATTCTCCGTCCATATAACACAATCAATAAAAGATATAACCATGAGAAAATTCAAAGTTGCATTGAAAAATTTGAAGGAATTGAAAATGTTTTATTCAGATGGAAAGCAGTAAGCGGAGCCAATGATGAGTTTGATGAAATTTTGAAACTTGTACGCCAACAGGCTTGCTATGACTGTGGGTCAACTCACTAGTAAAGAACTGTAGCCAGGATAAAAGATGAAAGTACCACAAAGGGACCAAAAACCTGCAAAAAAAAAAAAACTGTTATAGGCATGCTAGCAAAGACAGAGTTAATATTATATCCCAAGGGCGTCGATAAGTTGTGAATAGTGTGGATGGGGAGGAGACAATTTGCAAAGTAAAGAATTCTTGGGCCGCAGGCCCTAGCCTTAGCGGGGGCCGGGGGCCGCCCAAGCTCCCGGTGGGGGCCCCGCGCGAATCCCCCGGAAGCGTCTATAGTGGTATCTAATTAATTTTAAGGAATGCAATTAAAATTTATTCCCACATTACATTTTCAAAATACAGTAGTGGGTCCATGAATTCCAAATATAGGGGCCCAGGGAGGAACTTTGACAGATGGAGTGTAGACCACCTCAGCCCCACCATGGTTGGGGTTGAGAAAAGAAAATTTATGATTATGGCACCTCTAGTTGGCCGGAAATGGCACTCTCAGACTTAAATTTGAATATAATTTTCTTTTTTCTCCACTTTTAAAATTTGAAGAAAAATAGGGAGGGTTGGGCCCCTTGAATATGCCACTGCAATACTCATCATCATCGTTTTTTTTTCAATTTATCCTGGTAATCATAATCATGCCCACTTACATATTTCGTGTAAACTAACATTCATAAAAATGAATGATTTATTATCTACTGATTAGCTTGTGACGTATTCGAACCGTGAAAAACAAATGGTAAACCATGTTCCTTTATGGATAAACTGTAAAAAGTCACTCTAATTCTATCTTTGCATGTACAGTACTTTTAAAATCAATCAAGAGTTTTTTACCCCCTTTCTCCTCTTTTTGATTTTCAAGAAGTATTGCGACTGCACTATTGTTAGTGGAAATACAACAGACTATTTTCCAGTCAAACATGACTAAGGAGATAGGAAGCACATACAACATTAGTTAGCATTTTTTTCACAAACATAAAAGGTGATTTACTTAATTCATCATTATCATGACAGGGGCGGATCCATAAATTTTCTGACGGGGGGAGGGTTGAATACGTAGACGACACCCAACTCAGCCTCATGGTTGGGGCTGAGGTGAGCAAATTTTATGAATATGCCCCTCTAGATGATCAGAAATGGCATTCTCAGATTGTAAAAATGCTTTTTCAAAGCAGCCTCCTCGACAAAATTATTGGCTTTCCCCGACGAGAGATCTGCTCCCCCTTCCTTAGAATTTAGTGCAAATTTTAAGAATATGCCTCTTTAGACGCTCAGAAATGGCACTCTCAGATGGTAAAAATTCTTTTTCAAAGCAGTCTTTTCGATCGACAAAATTATTGACTTTCCTGACCCCATTCCCACTGGATTAATGATTAATGTCCTACAGTCAATGTCAGAGACATTATGCTGTTATGTATAAACAGATCCCTTTTAAATCAGGTGCTTTATTAGACAGGATCCTATGGGTAGGGTCACCCCAGGGACCCCTAAGGGTCGGTGGTTCTGTGGATTGCCGCACAAGAGCGCATACGCGTTACGCCACTGAGCATGTATAGTGATAATGGTTCTAGCTTGGTATACTACATTCCGTTAATGCTGGTTAAAACAAAAACGCGTCTTGGTATCCGTCTGTTGGCAATTTGTTAACACACGACACAGAGAGCAGGACAAAAGAGCAAGCAATCCGTTAGAATTGATTCACACCGACCGATTCGGACCAACAACCTATAGGAAAGGATGTTTTTGGATACACTATATTCATTACTGATGATTTCTCTGCCCTAGTACCTGTTTATTTCCTTAGATGTAAGAATGATTCTAAGCTGGCTTTAAACCAGTTCCTGGCTGACTGTTCCCCGATCGGCCAAGTCAAACGTCTAAGGTGCAATAATGGTGCTGAGTTCACTGCATTATTTACAAACAAAGGTATAAAACAAGAAGTCTAATCACCTGAATCGCCAAACCAAAATGGGACAGCTGAAATATACTGGCGCACTTTATTTAAAGTTCCTCCTACTAGAGGCTTATCTTCCTTTTGGACGTTTGGACCAACTTGTTTGGACCTATGCCAATAAGACAACAGCGCACATCAGAAATAGATGTTTTAACAATAGGTAGCAGAAACGCCATTTGAAGCCTTCACCGGAATTAAACCTAACCTATCTAAAATGCATATTTTTGGCTCACAATGTTGTGCGTATATCCATGAGAAACCAGATTCAAATTCCTAACGTAAATAAAATTGAGACACAAAAAATGAAAATTTAGTCATAGAACACCATTCCTCAAATCAGAATCAAATTGAGCCTGAGGAGAGAGATGAAAAAAAATCTAACAAAAAATACCCCAAATGGATAGAGCGTCACCAAATTACTTAGGAGATTACGATACCAAATTTGATAACGAAGATTCATTGCTTAAAATTAAGGAAGCATGAAGTAGTAGAATCCCATCGCATGGGTGGTTGTGAAATTATCCCAAAACCTAGCCAACCCTATAGTCTTATTACCACTAAACACGTGCTTAAATGTAAGGGGAACTTGCATTTTGTAGTCTACTGATTGCAAGCTGACATAGATCTAATTCAGATCGATTTTAAATAATTGGCTGCAGTGACTGTTTGAACAAATTCGGGTGACCGAAGAAGCACCACATGTTATAGTTTCTATTTCAGTGCGGGTAAGGCACAAATTTCTTGGAGAACCAAGCCCTGTCAACATGTGTTCGGAATATATGGGACTAGAAGCCACTAAAAAGGAAGCTTTTACATTGTTAAAGGGTTTGAGGATTAAAAAGCTATCAAGTGCCCTCATAAGGGATGATAACCAAGGGGCGATTGCCTTATGCAGGGACCCGGTGTTTCGACAGAGATGAGTATCGACATTAAGTACCACTCTATAAGGGATCTGCTTAAGAGGAAAATAAAATCAATATCCAATATTGTCGAACAGAGCATATGATTGGGTGTATTTTCTGTTTCAAAGCTAAACTTCAGATGTTTAAAAGGTTTTTGTTTGGAAATGAAAATAAATAAAGGTAGTTCGAGAAATTAAATTAATACTAAGACACTGTAATAATAAAAGATGTTTTAATTTTGTTAAAACTTTATGAGGTAAAGAGGGAGTGTTAGTATTAGTCATCTCATCATACAGAGGCTTAGCCCTCTTTGTTTGTTATGACGTCATCCCATGATGGTGTTTTAGTTTTGGCATTGTGGGTAGATGGAAAATAAAAGTTCTTACTAATGTTCACATTATTATCAAGCTCAATGTATAAAGCATTTGAATGTTTATGAGCTCAGTTGGCATTTTCTTGACACCCGACAGAAAATTTAAATAAACTTCAATTGTTTCTATTAATATTAATATTAATGAATTTAAATATTGATTATTCTACAGCTGCAAATGCTGGAATGGACATAACAAATGTTGGGGACTCGCTCGATTTATTCGGCCTAAGTGTAACCATGGACTTCAGTGGTCACTATTGTGCAGATGGCAACATAACGTATTTGTGTGCAGTGCTGTCAAAATCTGCATCTGCTATCCCTGATTTTGAAATCTTATTACAGAATAACATAGTTTGTCAAACAGCACCTTGTACAGGTATGTAAGGCATTGGATGTAGATGAACAGTAGGAAAATTGTACATTTCTGAGGTGTCGTGACAAAAAAAGGTTGTATGACACGTCAATCTGAAAATAATCTTTAAGTTATGTTTAGATAAAATTGGGTTTAGGGGGCTTTTTTAAATGTTTTTGAAGCATACTTTATGAGGCTATTTATCATAATTTAAAAACACAGGGTTTTTTGTGTATTAAAGGAGATGATCATTTTATAAATTTGCTTCAAATATCTAAATAATCATGTTTCAGTCATAATTTTCTCAACCTGGAAAATTCAATCAAGGAGTAAAATAGAACAAATTTTGTACCAGCATACACATTTTGTGATGATTATATTTATCACGTGTGTTGGTTTTAGTAGAGATTTTCACTTATTGTAAATACCTTTTTAAATTTTATACTCTAAATACAGTCTATCTTCCAATTCGAGACTCCTCTAATTCCGAGACCCTTTAATTGAGAACAATTTTTCAAAGGACCAACTAACCAACATCTTTTAACATTGAGCTCACTCTCTAAGTGTGAGACCCCTCTAATAATGGTAATGATGTTGAACATGATGATCATAATAGGATAGAATAAATACATCTGTTTTTAAATTATTATTATTATTATTATTATTATTATTATTGTTATTATTATTATTATTATTATTATTATTATTATTATTGTTGTTGTTATTGCATTATTATGCTAATGGTAACAATGTTAATTATGATGAATATTCTAATGTGCTCTATATTTTTACTCAGGTGTTGTCATTGATGGTGGTACTGGAATTTTAGATAGTGACAATGAGATCAAGGAGCATTCACCAACTAATGTTACATTTGGTTTTGAGATCGAATCCAGTGCCTCAAGTGCAGTTCTGAGCGGAACAGACCTGTGGCAATTCAATGTGTTTGTCAGTGCAAATCAGGATGGCTCAGGAGAGCACTATGGAGAAACTTTCGCTTCTCTATCAGACGAACAGAAGAGCACCGCGATATCTACAGCTGGCTCAACATTGGAGTTCACAGGTATTGCGGCATCATTGGACTTGGCTGATCTGAAGTGTTTTGATGATCCTAATACCTTTTACTACCTTTGTGTTGAGTTCATGCGGGATCCTGCAAGTACCCCAACATTTAGTATGACAACAGTTTCTGGAAATCCTCTGACACCCTACTGTGCCGTTGCAAATTGCCGTGGTAAGCTGATTAATGAATGTATTTTATTAGCCAAACGTACATGAACTGTTTCATAAATTTAAATTAACAGACTCGATGTTAGTTCGAGCTAGGGTTTTTGTTTTCTGTTTTGTGTAACATCAGCGCATAGAGACCATGTATTCGCTATACAAATCCCCAAGCATTACCATTGCCATCATCATCAACACATAATTATCATTATCATTATATTCATAATCATCATTATTTACATCCTTTATCACTATGTATTATTTTCTCCATTGTCAAAATCTTAATTCACATTATTGTGCCCATTAACATAAAATTTTACCATCATTATCACCAAAATTATTGTATTTCTCATTTCACTATCTTCATTAACACCTATGTTTATCATCATCAGAATCAAAGTCGTCTACAGTAATCATTTCTTTGCAATTTAAATAAAACCATCTTTGCCATCATCGTTGTTGTTGTCATCATCATCTTGGTCATCATCATCACCAACACTATCATCATCATCAGCATTAACATCAACATCAATATCATCATCATTATCAACATAATGTTAAAGAACAATTGTCATTATATCATCATTTATCATCACTGATGTTGTTATCGCATCAACTCTGCTTTAATTTATAGGTGTTAAGATCACAGGTACATCTGTCTCTACCTCAAGTGGTGATCCAGTTGTTGAAAGAAGTAATAATACAATTACATTTTCAATGACCGTCTCATCTGACGCGGATTGGGCCGGTATATCTGGTGATAATCTTTGGATGCTTACTGCAGATCTGAAGGACAGGGTAACGTTGGTTGATATATTAATTTATTAATTTATTTATTTGTCCTTAAACAACAGTGCAACAGTGTTCAGTTTCATTTTATACAAAGCCTATATTTAAAAAAATGGCATTAATATCCTCAAAACATCTAAACCCCTCAAAGCATTTAACCCCTTGGCACCCCAATCTTGTTTAACATTGAGAGGGATTGAACCTAAATTCATGGGATTGGAAGGTCAGCATCCTAAGCACAGCTATTCAACTACAGTCTAATGGTAGCTCAAGAAATTTGCTTACAGAGGGTCACTCTAAGATGTCCGACAGAAGATTCAAACCAAGTGGCTGACTATATTGCCTCCCAAAATAAAAGATCTCTGGTAGGGTTCACAGGGGGAGTATGACCTAAATATGCTTTTGCACCACAATATTCATTTGACCTTAAACAACAGTGCAACAGTGTTTAGTTTCATTTTATGCAAAGCCTATATTTAATAAAATGGCTGTAACGTCCTAAAAAAATCAAACCCCCTTGGTGCCCGCAGTCTTGTTTAACAGTGAGAGGGATTGAACCTAAAATCATGAGATTAGAAAGTGAGCATCCGACAGAAGATTTAAACCAAGTGGCTGACTATATTGCCTCCCGGAATAAAAAAAAAAAGAACTCTGGTAGAGTTCATGAGGAGAGTATGACCTAAATTATGCTTTTAGACCACAATACTTGGGATTGGCAATTAAAATAACGAATATTTGGATAGGCAAATTATTATTTTTGGTCAGACGACGTGGTGACATCCGAGGACGCACACCTTCTGCACTAATCAGTCTTGTGTGGAAATATTGTTAAGTTAGAAAAAAAAACCAATTATTAAATTTTAAATATCTGTTTTACAGAATGGAAATAACTTCACCCCTGAAGAGAATGTTGTGATATCTGTCAGTGAGGCCAGTAAAGACGTAACTGCAGGAACAGATATTCAGCTTTCGGATCTAACGGTAACCGTAGATTTAACAGACTTCATCTGCCCTGCCACAGTTCAGTTATGTGTTGTCCTGGAGAAAAATGATGCCGCCAATCCAGATTTCACATTTGACCCAAATACTGGTGTCTTCCCATCCTGTGTAGATATTGACTGTGAAGGTAACTATTGTTATTTTGATGTTTATCTTGCGTAATGCTTTTTTGTTGGAGTGCATCATATTTTTGATATGTCACAAGTTGCTCAGATTTATATAATCTGTATCTTTATTATTTTATTAAAATGGTTACACCAACATTTCAAGTATCTAATTACTGGGGAGGATTTTTTTTATTACATTTTATTTTGCTGTTGGAATCTATGGTATGTATTTTACTAAGCTCAATTGATTATTCTTTTAGGTGTTGTTATCACCAGCTCTTCATTGACGGAATCCAGCGGTATAACCTTCAAAGAAGGTGTAAGCAATCAGGTTGTAGATCTTGACTTGCGCTTCATGGTGGCAGAGGATGCAGGAGGAATTGATGGGAGTGATCAGTGGGCCATTGAAGTATTTGTAAATAGTGAGTCTAATGGCACTGGTGTTATGTATTCCGAAGTGTATGGTGTACTTCCACAGAATGTTGCAAATATACCTGCCATTCCTGGTGAGAACTTGGACTTCAGCTCAGTCTCGGCAACCTTGGATTTCTCCAGCCCAATGTACCTGCCATGTGGTGACATCTTTTATCTC